CTCTGCCTCCCAAGTGCTGGGATTAAAGGCATGTGCCACCAACGCCCGGCTTTTCTAGGTTCTTGATATGGGAGGAGTCTTTTTTTTTATTCACTCATATATTACATCCTGACTGCAGTTTCTCCCTCCCCCAGTTTCTCTCCCCATCTCCCCTCTCCCCCAATTCCATGCCCACTACATCTCCACTCAGAACAGAGCAGACTTTCCAGGGTCATCAACCAAATACAGTACAGTATGCTACAATAATACCAGGCACACGCCATTACATGAAGGCTGGACAAGGCAACCCAGTGGGAGGGAAAGGGTCCCTCAAGCGGGCAAAAGAGTCATTAACCACACCATTCCCACTGTTAAGAATCCCATAAAAACACCAAGCTACTCAGCAGTAACAAATGTGCAGAGGGCCTAGGTTAGACCCCTACTACAGACTCCCTGATCTCTGGTCAGTTGATTCTTTGAATTGTGTTCTTTTGTTGTTTCTGACCCCTCTGGTTCCTCAGATCCTCCCTCCCCATCCTGCACAGGACTCCCCAAGCTTTGCCTCATGTTTGGCTGTGGGACTCTGTATCTGCTCCCATTGGTTGTTGGGTGAAGTTTTTCTGGTCCCTTTGATGAGGATCCTGCTAGGCTCTGGTCCCAGAACACTCTGCAGGTAGGACAAGCTGTAGGCCGAAGGTTTTGTGTCTGGGTTGGTGCTCCAATCCCTCTACTTGAGGGCTTGACGGGTTACAGAAGATGGCCAGGTCAGGCTCCTTGTCCCCCATCACTAGGAGTCTTTCTTGGGTTACTCTCATAGATTCCATGGAGTTTCCATTGCACTAGGTTGCGGTGCTTAAGTTTTTAATTTGACGCTTTCTCCTCCCCCCCAACTCTGCATCCAACATCATAAACTTGCCTTCGGCACTGTTTTATGTGTATCACAAATTTGGTACCTAAGTGTTGACTTTGTATTTCCTTTTAAAATTCCTCTTTGATCCATGTAGCTAAATAATAATGCCATTTAGTTTTCAAGTGTTCAGGAGCTACTCAGTTACCTTACTGTGATAGTTTCTAGTTTGACTCCACTGTGGTTGGGGGTACATTGTGTATGATTTCCATTATTTTAACTTAAAGTCTGTTTTGTAACCCATTATTTGGCTCACCTTACTACATGTTTTATGAACACTAAAAAGAAAACTGTGAATCTGGTGTATTTGAGTGAAGCAGTGTAAGAATGTCTATGCAAACCCATTTGTCGATGAATTATGCTATTGAGTTGTCTTTTCTATAGTTAGTTTTGAAAACACGATTATTGAAAAGATGCTGCTGAAGTCTTCAGATGTCATTATGGATTTGTCCAGTTACCTTTCCATTCTGTTGTCTTCTTTCGCTACTCTGCTTTTTGTGGATGCACAATAATTCTATCTAGATTGACTCAGCGTTTCTGACATTATTGGATAGAATTGCATGTCTCTATCATACGCAGCATGTCTTAAAGTACATATAAATTGTGGAATGGTTAAATGTAGCTAAATAATAATGCAATAACACAGCAGTTACTCTGTGTGTGTGTGTGTGTGTGTAATTGTAATTCTTTGCTTTTTTTCCCTCCTGAGTCAGGGTCTAACCATATAGGCCAGGCTGGTCTTGACCTTTAAATGCTTCAGCTTTGAGAAGGCTGGTGCAATTGATATATGATTATAGATATATGATCTGGTCCTCTATGTCCATCTTTGAAGATGTAACTATAGTCACTGTGCTGTGTAGTGAGTTTCTTGAACCCTTCCCACCTAGCTGTATTCTAAGTCCTTTGACCTCCCCAAGCTTCCTCTTCTCAATCACTGTAACTTCCGACAACCAGCCTTTGGCTCTCTGCCTTTTGAGGTAAACCTTTAAGACTCCACGTATGAGGAAAACCATGTGACAGTTTGTGCCTGGCTTATTTCACTTAACATAATATTTTCTTGTTTATCCATATAGTCACAAATAATAGGATTCCATTTTTAATGGATGAATCATATTTCATTGCATACACATACCTTTTCCCCATCTGTTTGCTGATAGTCACTCAGGTTGATCGTTGTTTTGTTATTATAAATACTGTGACAATGAACAGAAACTACAAACTCAAATATTAAGAAAAGCAACCTCAACATTAGTCATACTTGGAGTCTTTGTCATAGCAATTTGAATATCCCCGTATTACGTATTCCTTTACAAACTTTTATAGTTATTATTTGTATAGTTGTACTCTTCTGTCACTAGAGAGGAATATAAGGCAGGAGGAGCTCAGTGCAGTCTGAGGTCTGGAGAGGAGCAGTGCAGTCTGAAGATGCAGCCTGAGGTTCGGTGGATCACCCTTTCGGTCTAAGCATTGTAGAGGTGAGAATTCTCTACTGCCTTGGCTGCTTTGCTTCTCTGACCTTCAGCTTTAACCCCAGTATTTGTCTCTGGGATTTTATTATTCCTGCTGCATCTTGAATGTAATATCCCATCAAACCAACTCTCCTGCTTTTTTAGCTTTTTTGCTGAGGGTTTCACATCAGGATTCCTCTTTTCCTTGCTGTTTTTTTTTCTTTTTGCAGGGTGGGGGGCAGGGTCTCAGTAACTGGCCTGCAACTCTCTCTGTTGAGCAGGCTCAGACCCACAGAAATCCATCTGCTTCTGCCTCCCACGTGCTGAGGTTGGAGGTGTGCATCGTCGTGGCTACCACGGATGCGTTTAGATTTCCTCTTGATCTCTGGTCTTTTATTGTAAAGCATGAAGACATCATCTTACTTCAATTGAGACAGCTCAGTACCTAGATCAGTCGTTCTTAACCCTCTGAGGGGCAAACAACTCTTTCACAGGGTCACCTAGGGCCATCAGAAAACACAGATATTTGTGTTATGATTCGTGACAGTAGTGAAATTAGTTATGAAGTAGAAACGAAAATAATTCATTTTACGTGTATGAGTGCTCTACTGACTTTATGCCAGAAGAGGGCATCAGATCCCACTATAAGATGTCTGTGAGCCACCATGGGGTTGCTGGGAATTGAACTCAGGACCTCTGGAAGGGCAGCCAGTGAGTGTTCTTTAACCTCTGAGGGACACCATGGGACATCTTCACTAAGAGGACTGACTGCCTTTGATGGACATTGGGTCCCTAAAGGGTTACAGGTCATCTCTCTGGAGAGAGGGGGGGGGAGGGAGAAGAGAGGAGAGGAGAGGAAAGAGAGAGAGAGAGAGAGAGAGAGAGAGAGAGAGAGAGAGAGAAAGAGAAAGAGAAAGAGGGAGAGACAGAGAGAGAGGGAGAGGGAGAGAGAGACAGAGAGGGAGAGAGGGAGGGAGAGAGAGAGGTAAGGAGAGAAGAGAGGAGAGAGAGAGGGAGAGAGAGGTAAGGAGAGAAGAGAGAGAGAGAGACAGAGAGAAAGAGAGGGAGGGGAGAGAGAGGGGGGAGACGGGGAGAGAGAGAGGGGGGAGAGAGGGAGAAAGAGAAGGAGAGAGGGAGAGAGAGAAGGAGAGGTGAGAGAGAGGGGAAGGGAGAGAGAGGAGAGAGAACATTCCCATGAGCACTGACACAGGATTTTGAACCAGCATCTCCAGCCTCCAATCCTCCTTTCAGAAAGTTTGAAACTCTGTATGAAGCAGGTGAGAGACCTCTGAACAAGGGAGTCCAGGGGAGTCACAGGGAGTCAGAGGGAGTCCAGGGGAGTCACGGGGAGTCAGGGGGGTGTCCTTAGGGAACCAACTTTCTAAGCCCCTGTTTCTCTACTCCAAACTTGGAAAAGATGTGGACAGACCAAATCCGGGTTTCCTAGCTTTGGCGATGAATGCGGCCCAGCCCGTGTTTCCCATGGCAGGGCTGTCTCCCTCTGTGTTTACAGAGTACTTCGCCTCTGATGTGACTCACTTTCACAGGAAACTTTTGTGTTGCTTTGGGATGCGTGCCCCTGGCAGGAGGGTGCCTCTGACAGCTTGGGGCACCCAAGGCCAGCTAGGAATTGTGGGGTCCCCCGAGGTCTAACCCCCAGCCTGAGGAATGGGGACCAGACTTATGAACAAATGCACATCCATACCCTAACACCCACGTGAGGGATATGCTCTCCTGGCAGCGGTACGGCTATGGGGAATCTCCAGGCACAGATGCCATGTGATCCACGTGGTTCGGTGGCAGGTCACCCTTTCTGGGCAGGAGACAGGAAACCTGTTGTTGGTTCATTTGAAAATTTGCAACCACACCCTTCCTTCTTCCAGTTTTGAGGTACTTAATTAAAAAAAAAATTACCTCCTTATTCCCAAACATTTTGGAGCAGACACTTAGCTTCTCTTCCTTGCCTCTAACACCCCATTCTGCTCCTTTACTCTGTGACAAAATGCTGCTCGCCAACACAGTTCCTGGTGAATTGAAATTCATCTCCTTGGGAGCAGTTTGTGATCACTGCAGAACCCTTGGGGGTTCAGCACAATGGGGGACAAGCTCCACACATGCCAGTTCCCCGGAGGGTGCAGCTCCTGGGAGGCAATTCTGAAAAACCCGAATCTGCGATTCCTGCTGATGTTAGATGCAGGACCAGAGGGCACATCCTGGTTGGAAATGAGGGAATGGTACCTTTTAACCAACCACCTTTGGCTAGAACAGTCAACTCCACTTTCTTGAAGAGTTCTTATCGTAACAAAATGAAAGTCCTACCTTTTTTTTTTTTTTTTTTTTTTTTTGGTTTTACGAGGCAGGGGTTTCTCTGTATTGTTTTGGAGGCTGTCGGTCTAGCCTGGCCTCGAACTCACAGAGATCCGCCTGCCTCTGCCTCCCAAGTGCTGGGATTAAAGGTGTGCGCCACCACCACCCGGCTGAAACTCCTACCTTTTCTATTCACTAAGCACTTAGACTTTCCCCCATCCCTTCCTTCCCTTCCCTTCCCTTCCCTTCCCTTCCCTTCCCTTCCCTACCCTTCCCCCTTCCCTCCCTCCCTCCCTCCCTCCCTCCCTCCCTCCCTCCCTCCCTCCCTTCCTCCCCCTCTCCCTCCCTCCCTCCGTTTCTCTCTCTAACATCCACTCATTATTTTGTTCGGTGTGTGTGGCCGGGAGAGCATGTGGATGTTGTAGGACAATGAGCAGGAGTTGGCTTCCTCCTTCCCCCTTGTGGGGCCTGGGAACTCAGGTTCTCAGACTTAGCAGCAAGAGCTTCTTCCCACAGAACCACTGGAGCGCCAGCCTCAAACACTCAGACTTAAATCTGTCCCTGGGATATAACAGATGCTCAGTAATGGGTGAACGAACCTATTCTGTCATTTTCCTTATTGAACTCTAAATTCCACTGGGCAAAGACTATTTAGTGATTGGATTGTCAAGTCTCAATACGATATTGTGCATATATTTATAATAGATAACTGTCAATTAAACTGCTTTGGTCCTGGGATATCCCTTATGATTTTCCGGGCAGCTTTGTGACATCCATAGTGAGGAGCAGGGGTTAAGAGAGAGGGATATTTATACAGGGCTATTTTCTTTCTGGGGAGCCTGGGGTGCATACTTCAACTCCTCAACTCTCTATTTCCCTTGCGAAAGAGGGATAATGATGCCTAATAACTTAATTCTTTCAAAGCCATTGAGAGGATTAAGTTGAAGGTGTTTATGGTCTAATAAGTAATTGTTGTTGTTGTTGTTATAGTATCTGCTTTCTGTTTCTCATGCAGATAATCATGCCCACGGTACTTGGTCAGTCTTTTTTTTTTTTAAACCCATACCAGGACGCTGGAGAGTGGGAGACTTTGAGACCTCAGTTGTAAGTGAATTATCTTCATCAAAACCCTCCCCTCAGTGTTCAGGGATCTAGGCAGAAGAGGAGTTGGAAAGAGGGTAAGAGTCAGCGGTGGTGACGGATGGATGATTCCGAGGAAACAGCATCTCCCAGACACAACAGAGACTGAGGCGGCCCGTACAAGGCGGGCACAGTCTGAGAAGGGGAGGTGGGCATCGTCTTCTACCCCTAACCAGGCTGCAGCTGATACCCAATGGCAAAGGAAAACTCAGTTTTCTCCAGCGGAGTCTCACTGGGTATGTTTAACCACACTCCGGGGCAGGTCACAAAATGAACTCAATGGTATTTTTGTTTTCTTTGGGTATTTTTTGTCTCATTGCTTCTTTATTTTGATTTCCACTTTTATGGAGTTGTTTTTTTTAATGTGTGTTTCTTTGTTGTTGTTTGTTTTAAAGAGAGAAAAAGAATATAACGTTGGGTGGGTAGAGAGGTAGGGGGTATCTTGGAGGAATTGGGGGAGGGGGAAAATATGATCAAAATATATAGCTTGAAAAAATTTTAAAATAAAACACATATTTATTTATTTATTGCTATTTGCTGAGTCTCACTGTGTATCTCACTCATACTGTCAACTCCTGTATCCTCTCACTTTATCCTCCTGAGTGCTGGGATTAGAAGTATGAGTCATCGAGCCTGACTTGATTGGAGTGGTGGTTGAATAGGAATGGTTTGAATGCTTGGTCCATAGGGAGTGATGCTCAGAGGTGTGGCCTCATTGCAGTAGGTGTGGCCTCATTGCAGTAGGTGTGGTCTTGTTGGAGGAAGTGTGTCACTGCGGAGGCGGGCTTTATATGTATGTATTCCTGTTGCCTTCTGGTCAAGGTAACAGACCCTTGGCTCCTTCTCTAGCCCTTGTGTCTTAATTAGGGTTACGATTGCTATGAAGAAATACTAGAACCATGGCAACTCTTATAAAGGAAGACATTGAATTCTGGTGGCTCACTTCCGGCTCAGAGGTCCAGTACATCATGGTGGCATCAGGCAGGCATGACGCTGGAGAAACAGCCAGGTGTCCTACACCTTACAGGCAATAGGAAGCTGATGGACACACTGGGCATATCCTGAGCATAGGAAACCTCAAAGTCCTTCCCCTCAGTGACACACTTCCTCCAACAAGGCCATGTCTCCTGATGGCGCCACTCCTCTTGGGGGCTGCTCTCTTTCAAACTGCCACACCATGTCCGCCAGCACACCGCCACGCTTCCCTCCATGGTGATAATAAACTAAACCTCTGAATTGTAAGCCAGTCCCAATTCCATGTTTTCCTTTACAAACAGTTGCTGTGGTGATGGTGCCTCTTCACAGCAATAGAAAACCTAACTAAGTCGGGTGGATTTTAAGTGGAAAAGATTAGCTGGCATCGTATTACCAGGAGACGGAGCAGGTCTGGGCTCCCTGGGCTGGGGGTTCCATCTAGAGCCCACATAAATGTGCACAATGTGTACTGTGAGAGCCACTGTTTGTGGGTGTTGGTGTGGGTGTTGGTGTGTCACTCATGGTATGTGTAGATTGGCCGGTACGCTAGACCACATGTGACTGTAAAAAAGCAAAAACCAGACCACTGCATAATTACTTAACCTTTCTGCTCCTCCTTATCCTCTATTAAGCAGAGATAACAGTAGCCATTACTTAACAATGTTGACTGTAGGGGGCCTTGCGAAGGGATTCACATAAGAGCCCAAAGAAGTCTCTGGTACCCAGGAGCAGCCTGGTGCCTGGTGCCTACTGCATTATTTTCATGCAGCCGACAGAAACACTGAAGAGAAGGAAGAGGGACTTTGACTCCTGGTTTTCGGGGCTCATCATGCTGTCTGAGGAGGTGCGGTGGCGTTCAAGGCAGTGGGGGCATTTGATGATGGCTACTCATGTAAGAATGAATCAGGAAACAGAGCAAAGTCACACCCAGCGGTGAGAATACCCTTCAAAGGCCTACCCCAGTGACCTCTTCCTGCTGGCTAGGTGCCACCTCCTGAAAGCCCCACAGTGCCCCCATAACAAAGGGCACCAGCTGGGCACCAATCACTGGCAGTGTGATCAGGTGGGAGATGTTTCAGATGCTAACCATGACACCTCGTATGTTCCGACAATCCGGGTTGGTCTTTTCCACAGATGCTCTGCACACCACGTTGTGGCCTCCCTCTCAGGTCCTACTCCATGCTCTCCTGTTCGGGCACTTGCCTGGGCCTGCTGTGGCAGTGTCAGGGAAGATGACCTCAGCTCGGGAGTGCTTCCTAATGACGGCTGACTTCTATTTATATTCACGGCACAGGGTTTGCACGGAGAGCCAGCATTAGAGATGTCTGAAGTCATCATCCTCTGCTGTTACCATAAAGGGTCCCAGGATGCTAGGACATTGGAGCTGACGTCACAACCGAGAAAACCTCTTAAATACCACCGGGAACGATTGTCGTGCCTGGGTCCAACGCAGGAAACATAAGGGCCTAGCATTTGTCACCCTTCAATGCGTTCAAGACCTTCCTACAAAGTTTCTTTGGCAGGTCTCCCCCCCCCCCCCCCCTTTTTTATTTACAAAAAAAAGTTCAAAAGTCATCAAATAAAATTTTTCATTTGATCTAGAAAAAAGAAAAAGCAAAAACCCATTTGGGGCCAGTGAGACAGCTCAGTGGTGAACTTTCCCTGAAGGTTTGATCTCTGGAGCTCACCTAGTGGAAGAAGAAAATTGACGCCGAGAGATGCCCTCTGACCTCTACACACACGCTGTGGCACACATACATATACAAAACCAGCACATAAATGGGATTAACGGCTATTAAACAATTTTACCATGTCCATACTGTTCTTAACTTGCGAATAATACAAAACAGGGAGTGGGCCAGATTCAGTCATTCTTGATCTAGAGCAATAATAGTTGAGAACCAGAGTTGGCCATTCATATCTGTAGAGCTAACCAACTTCAGATCAAAAGACATCCAAGAAAAAATTGTGTCACGAGCAGTGGCAGTGTTTTTCTTGTCACCATCAGTCCAACAGCAATCACAGTGTGATGCTCTGTGATACACCATACTTGACACACGGTGATGTGACCCATGCAAGAGGATTTGTACAGCGTATGCAAATTTTATGCTACTTTCTTTTCAATTTTTCCTTTTGGGCAAGGGTGCATGGTGTATGTACTATACATGTTGGTGTGTGTGTGTGTGTGTGTGTGTGTGTGTTCCCATGTGTGTGCACAGGCGTGTAGAGGCCAGAGGTTGATGTCATGATGTCTTTCTCAGTTGCTTTCTACCTTGTATTTTAACACATGTGTACAGTGTATTTTGATTATATTTAATGCCCTACTACTCCCCGAACTTCTCTCTACCTTGACCCTTCTAATTTAGTGTCTTTTTTTTTTAAGCCACTGAGTCCCATTTGTGTTACCCCTATACTCTGAGTGAGGAGTCAACTCTTAGAGCATGATTGAATGACCAGGGGCCATTCTGTTACCCGATCAACCACCAATAGCTCCTTGGCTAAGGGGTGGGGGCCTTATGAGCCCCCCTCCCTCCTGGAGTGTTGACTGGACTGATCTTGTGCAGGTCTTGTGCAGGCAATGGCGGCTGCTGTGAGTTCATGAGAGTTCATGAGAGCAGCTGTCCTGTCAAGTCCTGAAGACGCTGTTCTCTCCAGTGTTCCCCACCTTGGGCTCTCACGCTTGCTGTCTCCTCTTCTGTAATGGTCCCTGAGTTTGGTGGAGCGGGTCTATGCATCATTTGTTTAAAGGCAGACTCTGTCACTAAACCTGTCTCCCCCGTTACCCCCCACCACTGGGATACCATATATGTGCTGCATTTAGCTTTTTATGTGAGTGCTGCGCACCCCAGAATCAGGAATTCATCTTGGAAAGCAAACACTTTGCCACTCCAGCCAACCCGCCAGCTCCGCACATCGTTTTCTATAAGGGACTGTAGATATCGGAATAAGGGTAGAGCAAGCATGTCTTATTTCTTTTTAGTTTTTAAGGGGCCACTGTGTACCCCCTTTATCACTGCGGGGTTCCAGTGAAGCCATCCTTTAAGAGGGCCTGAGCTGCGGGCTCTCCCGAGAGCAGCCTCCCAGGAGCATAGTGTATAGGGAGACAGAGCTGGAGGCATCAGTGAGGAGGAAATGGGGGAGCCAGGATCAGGGCCAGCCTGGTCTGAGCTTGTTCTCCTGGCTGATCCACTACTCTGCCTTGGGAGTTGGAAGGCTCTTTGCTCCCTGCTGCACATGGAAGGCATTCCAGGGTCTTCACCTTGACCCTGGGGACTTGGGGTGCTTGCTCGCCCTCTTAGACACCCACTCTTCCTCTTGCCACTGTTTCTTGGCTAGTTTGGGCCTCGTTGGTTCCTTACTCTCTGGGGCTACTTCCGGTTCCACACGTTCACACAGTAAATCTGGAATGTTCCTAACCATCTTGGATCCATCCGCGCCCCCTCCACCCGTCCGATCTGTTCGGCATGAGCTTCCGTGTGGCTTGTCAAGCAGGCAGGCATGGAGTGAGGGTGTGGGGGAGATGGGCAGATCCCTGGGGTTTGTTGGCTGGCAACTCTAATCTACTTGGTGAGCCCCAGGCCAGTGAGATAATTTGTTTAAAAAAAAAATAAAGCAGAAGTTTTCTCATGGATAACATACCAGAGTTGACCTCTGACCCTCACAACACATGTGCACATGTATACACACACACCACACAGAGACAGAGAGAGAGAGAGAGACAGAGACAGAGACAGAGAGACAGAGAGAAGCCCTGCAGTGTTCTCTGTCCCATAGACAGTCACTTCTGCTATAACACTTAGGACATCACGAGGCTGCAAGGCTGTAGACGGAGTCATTGAATGTCCACCCTCTCCATGCTGCTGTACACTCATGACATACGGTGTGGGAGCAGCTCTAATAGACTCATGTTGTAAGAGTCATGTGGCAAGCCCACAGACTCACCTTTGTAAAACATGACACCCATCCAGCCCTAGGGTGCTGGCTGCAGCTCAGTGGTAGAGAGCTTGTCTAGCATGTGTAAGGTTCCGAGTTCAGTCCCCAGCGTCAACATTAAAAACAAGGAAGACAGAAACAGCTGTAAGCAAGAACGGACAAGGACATCATGTCTCCTCATCCTCTTGACAGCCTTGGGAAAGCATTTTCACTCCCCAATCCCACACTCCATAACTGAAGAAATCTAGACTCAGAAATGTCAAATAGTTTCTCAAGTGTCAAAAACAACAGGCAGCTTCCGGGTCTCTGATAGTCTTCCCATCATCTTTGTAAACACACCATGAGCATGCCCTTGGAGATGTATGTGCGTGCGTATAAATTTATCTTGGTATAGGTGGCCAAAGTAAGAAGGGTCATGACGAGATGTTGCAGAACTCCATGTTAGCTTGTCTCCAAGTTACGGATCCCTTTCTAAAAGCAAGGAGAGTACGGATTTCTTACACATCTATCTAGAGGTCCTCTGTGCTTGTTCAGGATATGCAGACATTCTTTATCCTCTTCTGACGCGACACAAATGGCAGCTTGATCCACACGCTGTCTCTCCCTTCCGCACTTAGCTGTGTTCTAGCTACCCACTCTGCATCATCCCTTCACATCACTAGAGGCATAACGTCCGTACTTATTTTTAGGGTGGAAGAGTATGTTATCATATGCATTTCCACGGTCTCTAAATTAGTCTCCACTGATAGATGAGACACTTGAGTTGCTGTGAACACTGTATTTGTTGTCACCAATCATGAGTAACTTGGTGCCCAAGTCAACCTGTATGTGTTCAAGGCTAGGGAGATAGAACTCAGGAAGTAAAGTGCTTGCCTTGAAAACACAAGGACCTGAGTTCAAATCCCAGAACTCACACTTTAAAAAGCTGGGTGCGGTGGTATGCACTTGAAATCCTGGTTCTGGAGACATGGAGTCTGGTGAATTCCTGGGGTTTGATGGCCAGTAAGCTGAGTCTATTCGGCTAGTTCTGGGTCAATGAGAGACCCTGCCTCAAAATTGAAAATGGACACCACCTAAACAATGACACTTGAGGTTGATCTCTGGCCTCCACATGCACACCACATACTATACACACACCATACACACACATACCTCAGACACATACACACATACTTCACACACACACACATACCACACATACACAAACACACACTACACACCTACCATACACACATACCATACACACATACCACAGACACACACAGATATGCTCACATCACATACCACACACCACACACACACACAAATACCACATACAGATACACACTCAGACACACATACATGCGTAGACACACATATACGCAGAACATACACATACCACAAACACATACACACACACATAACATAACACATGCCATATACACACATACACGCTACCCGCACACATACCACACCACACACACACACACACACACACACACACGATTCTAACTGTGGGATCCTTAAGGGTATTCTACGATATTTTAAAGCATCTTTGTAGAAGCACGTTTAAGGATTTGGAGCTGACATACCAAACTTTATGAGCTCTACGGAGACTACGACAGGTAGACAATGCCAATGCCAGCTCAGCATCCATGGAGACCTTGGAGTACAGAGTTCCTCTCTAGGGGGACCTGGGAATCAGCCAATCGTCTCCCAGAAGTCTGACCACTATCCTGCTGCTGTGTGACTTTTCCTGGAGAGACTACTTCTCTTCACCTCAGACAGAAGGCAACGACAGAGCACGGAAACAGTACATCCAAGCCCAGTGCCATGAGCCAGAGAGTTTATGGGTTCCTGCAGAAGGACCAGAGAAGGGTATTTCTGGGTGGCTCAGGCTGCATCACCCAAAAGTCCACTCCTCCATGGGTGGTGACTGACTGGTGTCCTCAGACCAGTCTGAGAGCAGTTACACAGGGGGAGAGGACGCTCTCACAGCAGCTACTGACTACTTCCGTAAT